ACCAAGAGCAGAAAGGGCAGGGAGCAGGGTCAGACTTCTGCATGGGGGCCGAAGGCAGATGAGTATCAGGAAAGTGATAGGACAGTGTCTAGGCTCATGGTCCACAGGAGAGATGAGAGTTCTTCAGGAAAATTCCAGACCCACCTCCAAACAGCAGGGGGCCCTCAGGCTCATCATAGACAGAACTCGTGGACCTTGCTTGGGTCTGGGAAGCCCAGACCCCACTCAGAGACTGAGAGCAGAGCTTCTCCACCATGGACACCAGTTCCCTGACCTCTTGCCAATAACCAACCCCTGCAAGTCAGCCCAAGGCTTCACCCACAGTCACTCTATTCCCAGCATCCTCTGAAGAGTTCCAAGACAATAAGGCCACACTGGTGTGTCTCATGAATGACTTCTACCCAGATGCCATGACCGTCACCTGGAAGACGGACAGCACAACCGTCACCTAGGGCATGGAGACCACCAAGTTCTCCAAACAGACAACAAAAAATATGCAGCCTGCAGCTACCTGACCCTGACACTGGAGGCATGGAAGTCTCGCAACAGCTACAGCTGCCAGGTCACACACGAGGGGAGCACCATCGAGAAGAAGGTGGCCCCAGCAGAGTGTTCTTAGGGCCCTGAGCTTCCCTACCTGGAAGATCCCAGTTGGGGATGGACTCTGGGTTGGGATTATCCCATCCACACACCCCTTTCCAAACTTGCCACTGTGTCCCTAAGACCCTTCACTGAATCAGCTCACACCTGGGTGTACCCTACACCCTCCCCATGTCCACTTCTCTTCAACAAAGTTTTGGCGTTTATCATCCAACACGTTCAATGTCATTTTGTGTCTGGTTGCATCTCTAGGCAGAGTCCTGCTCCAGGGTCAGGGGATGATCCTGCTTGGAGCCCCCACTTCCTGACGGTCTCCTCCAACAACAGAGGAAACCAGGGTGTTCTGAAGGAATTGTGACCATAGCAGGTTATGTCTCCTTAAGTACTACCTTAGTCCTTGTCCACCCAGAAAGGAGAGAGATGGGAGAATGATACGCAGTGTGGGAAGGACCCTGAATATCACATCAGGGAAAAATGAGGGGAATCTCACATGACCAGAAGAAGACTGGAGTAAGGTCAGCCAATTAAGCTGAGACAAGAGTCTGAGTATGAGACCAGGTTCCACTTCCAGGTTCTAGATGAGGGACCCAGTGGCTGTTCTCTTCCACCAGGAAGTAGTGGGTAAGTTGAGGAAACACCCCACACACTGGTATTTCTCAAACTTCCAGAATGCTTGTTAGCCAAGTTGTTGTTGTTGTTAGGTGGCATCGAGTTGTTTCCGACTCATAGCGACCCTATGCACAGCAGAATGAAACACTGTCCGATCCTGCGCCAGCTCTATGATTCTTGCTATACTTGAGCCCATTGTCACAGCCACCACGTCAATCCATCTCCTTGAAGGTTTTCCTCTCTTTTGTCTACCCTCCACCTTACCAGGCCAAGTAGACCGGCTAAAAGCGAAGTAGTCGAGTAGACTGGCTAAAAGTTCTACAGGAGAAATACCTTCATGTGTGTCACCCAGCATATCCCAGGTCATGTTTACCATCTCGCCCACTTTAGGAAGTTCTAGAATATTCTGAGACACTGGTGTTTCATGGAATCTGGTGGGGAGCATGGTGTCAGGCTGAAGCACACAGGGACCCTCTGAATAGGATCAGTCTAGCATGGGGTTGGGTTAGGGTCCAAATTAATGCTCATGTCATGCTATAGTCTGGTCATGAAGGGTCTTGGCATCTGAATCAGATTCATGCAGAACTCGAGGCACGTTTATGGCTGCAGCTTGGGGATGGCAGCAAAGCTTGAGGGGAAGACAGGGAGCTAATGAAAAAGTGAACCATTCCAGACACATAATGGGCCCTCAATGACGCTACTTAAGGATGCTGCAGAGTAAAGTCAAGATCAGAAAGAAGGTGAGGCCAGTTAGAACCATTGTTGCTGCCACTGTGTCTATCCACCTTGTCGAGGGCCTTCCTCTTTACAAAGCATGATATCCTTCTCCAGAGAATGGTCCCTTCTGACAACATGACCTAAGTAAGTGAGCCAGTGTGGCCATTCTCTATTCCAAGGAGCATTCCAGCTGCACTTCATCCAGGACAGATTTGTTAGTTCTTCTGGCGGTCCATGGCATACTCGGTATTCTTCCCACAACTCAAAAGCATCCATTCTTCGTTGGCCTTCCTTACTCCTTGTCCAGCTCTCACATGCAGACGAGGTGATTGAAAATGCCATGGCTTGGGGCAGGTGCACCTTAGTCTTCATTTGTTTCTGTTCTTGAGCACATGTTGATACATTATTAGTAACTGAACTCCACAGTTTACATGATGATTTGCTCTTTGTCATGCAGTTTTCTGTGGGTTTTGAGACATGATGTCACATGTCCACCATTAAAGTATGCCCCAGAATAGTTCCGCTGCCATAATATGCCCTGGGCTCCACGTATGCACCAGCCCCTCTGCCTGAATCCCTGGCAAACACTCGTCTTTTACTGTCTCTGTACCATTGCCTTTTCCAGAAGGTTACACACTTGGAATCAGTCATGCAGTATTGAGCCAGTTCATAGACTTCCTTCACTCAGCAATATGCATTCAAGGTTCCTCCATGTTTTCTGAGGCTTAATAACTCAATTTGTTCTACCACTGAGTGATCTTGTATTGCACGGTTGTATCACAGCTTGTTGATCCATTCACCTTTGGAAAGATGTTTGGTTGCTACCAATTTTCAGCAAGTCTGGATAAAGCTGTTATAAACATTCCTGTGCAGGTTTGCAGTGAACATAAGCTTTCTATTCATTTGGGTTAATAAGGAGGAGCATGGTTGTCAGATCATGTGGTAAGCCTATGGTTAGCTTTGTAGGAAACTGCAAGACCGTCATCCAAAGTGGATGTACCATTTGTATTCCCACCAGCCATGCATGAGAGTTCCTGTTGCTTCACATTCTCCCAGCATTTGATGTTGTTGACATTATGGATTGTGTTAGACTGGGTTCTCTAGAGAAACAAAAATCAGTAAAGCTTATATAGAGAGAGAGAGAGAAAAAAATTTATCTTAGGAAAATGTCTCACACACTTATAGAAGGTGGCAAGTCCAGAGTTCCTGGATCAAACATCAAGCTGGAGGCTTTTCCCAACTCTTGCAGCCACAGGGGTTGAGGAGCTCGAGGCTGGCAGGCAGTACACTGGCTGTTGACTCCAACAAATGATGAATCCAAGATCTCCAGGCCAAATGGTAGATTGTTCACTCACAGACAGTTGTAGGCAGCACAATATAATCCCAATCCACAGAAGACTGTCTCCTCTCCAGGATGTCCATGGATATACTGCAAGCAGGCCACACCTGTAGGGAAACTTCCTTTCAACAGATTGTCTGCTCAAAACATAATCATCTGATTCCATCATGGGAACAACCACACCACAACAGCTCAAATCACACAGAATTGTGGTCCAGCCAAGTTGACACACAGCTCCAACTATCACATGGATGTTACTCAGTTTTATAGGTGTACAGTGGTATCTGATTGATTTAATTTGCAAGTGCCTGACATCATAGGATGATGAGCATGTTTTCATAAGCTGAATTTTCATCTGTGTATCTTCCTTGCTGAGCATCTGTTCAGACCTTTTGTCCATTTTGTTATCAGATGATTTCTTTTCTTATTAAGAGTGCTTTCTGTATCTTGGATACAAGTCTCTTATCGGATATGCATTTTGCAAACTTTTTCTCATCTATAGTTTATCTTCTAATTTTACTAACAGTAATTTTTCAGACCAGAATTTTTTAATTTCAAAGAAGTCAAACTTAACTTTTTTTTGTTACCGCTGTTCTATCTAAAACTCACTCTCAAATGCATGATCACTTATTGTTTTTTATTCTAGAAATTCTGTGGCTTTACATTTAGCATTTACCTGATTCATTCATTTGGGTTAATTTTGTAAAATCTGTACAATTTCTATCTACATTCATTTTTGTTTATTTCCTTGTTTGGTTCCATGTAGACGACCAGTTGCTCCAACACTATTCTTTTGGAAAAACGATCATTTTTCCATGGAATTCCCTTACTCTTGTTACTGGTAAATTGCCTATAATTGTCTGGGCCAATTGCTGGGGTCTCTGGTCTGTTTCATTGAACTATTTAGCTGAGGTTACATTTCATTGATGAGGTGAAAGTCCCAACTTTGCGGACACTCGCAACCTCTTCAGGTGTCACCTGGATCCTCCTGAGATCTTCTGAAAGCACAGAGCATTTCAGTGGCTTCCACTTTTCTATGATAACAATATATTCCACACTCATCTTGTATGTTGTCTGCTTCAGGACTTGAATCAATATTTATTCTAGGTGCCCTAATTCCATGTAGTAGTAAGTGATGTATGAAGACCACAATCAATGTACAACCTTACATCTCTGTGATAAACTTATATTACCAGACACACACAACAAAGAGACCACACTTGCAGGTCTCCATGGAGGATTAAGGCTAGCATTTAACACAGGGAACCCTGGAGAGTTTCATTCCAAACTGAGCATAACTCAGTGGGAAGACGCTGAAATGCCAGGCTCAGGGGGGATTATGGGATGTTTCCCTTGCCCAGTGCACACCAAAGCAATCCACACATCCCTGCGAAGACTGGGTCACTCCGCAGGGCACCCACTGTGGTCACCCTATGCCTTTATCGAGGGTTAAAGTTTTGTCAACTTGGTTTAAAGAGACAATCTCCTGTATTCCATGGAACTTCACTCCTTAGTGTGAAAAAAAAAAAAAAAAAAAGGATTCTTATCACTGGGCCACCATTAACAGGGCAACTGATGCAAGACACCAAATTTCTCCAGGATTCTTCTTTCCCAGGGGCATGCTATGCACATGAGGTCATCTGACAACCTCTGCTGGGTGGCAGGTGGTGTAGCCTCACTGTTGAGCAGGTGCCAGCTTGGGGTGGGGACACAGCCTCCCCCATCAAAGCTGCAGATGGTCCTGGGGGTGGGAGTGGAGGCATCACAAGGAGGGTTTTTGTGTGAGACTGTGTCACAGTGTTATTTCTTCGGCGGAGGGACCCAGCTGACCGTCCTTGGTGAGTCTCCTCTTCCCAAACCTGTCCTCCTTTCCTGAGGTTTGGGGAAATTTTCTGATGTTTCTGCTGATTTTCTGGGTCTTGCCTCTGCCTGGGGTCAGTGTTTCTCCCAGAAGCTGTTCAGAAGGGACCCAAGTCTCTTCTGCTCACTCTGCAGAACCTGCTTCTTCTATCCACTGGCCACCATCAGGCCTTCAACCCTGAACTCACAGGCAGGGAATGGCTGTATGACCCTGGACTCCGCGTTTCACACAGAGACACCTTGAGTCCTAGGATTTGATCTGTTCTGCTTCCCTATCTGGGCTCCTATTGATCCTCCTTCTTCAATGGAGTCACTTGGGGAAGAGTGAACCAGGGCCCAAAGAGATGGTGGTGGTGTGATGCCTAAGGCATTTGACTGCTAACCAGAAAGCTGGTTGTTCAAACCAAAAGTTATTCCTTGGAAGGAAGGTTGGGCAATCTACTTCCATAGTGATACCACCTCAGAAACCCAAGGAGGGGTCACTATGAGTCAGATCTGACTCAAAGACAGTGAGATATTTGAGTTTAGGAGACTCTTGAGGGACTCAAAAGGCTCTGGGCTGACTCTGGGGACCAAGGGTCCAAGGTTAGGGGCTGGAAACACTGAATGGTGGGAGTAGGAATTTGGGGTAGGAAGTGAAGTGTCCTTCAGCTATTGGGGTAACCCTACGACTTCTGAGACTCAAGCAGCCAAGCAGGAGGGAGAACGGAGGAGAGCGTTCTAAAGTCCAGGACTGTGTGAGGTTCAATGGGGACTGGGTGTCAGAGGGACAGTGTACCAGGGACTCTACAACAGACGTTCATTCAAATGCATGAGAACCTGAGGTCACAGATGGCAGGTTGCTTGTTGTACAACACTCTGATAGGACCGAAAGAACAGATGACGGTGACCTCCAATTGAAAATACAGATTAGCAGAGACTTCAGGAAGATTGATTTTCATAGGTCAGTAAACCTTTCCCTTATACAGACCCTTTAAGAGACAAGGAGATAAGTGAAAACAGACCTCTCCCACACAAAGCCCAGAGAAAGTATGTCAGGATACCAACGTCTCCAAGAGTGAACCATAAAGGAGAGTCAGAGAACTCACATCAAGGACTATGGGGCAGACAGACACCAGGCACAGCCTATCAGGACATAAGGAGAAGGAAGGGCAGGAGTCAGGGTCAGATTTCTCTGTGGAGGCTAAAGAGACTACCGGCCCAGGAGACCTGGGAGCTCTATGATCAACAACCCAGACCGACATCCACCCTGAAACGGAACATTAGGCTCATCAGGGAAGGAGACTCTGGATCCTCTCTTGGACCTGGGCCTGGGGAGCCCACACTTCACTCGCGGTGAGGTCAGGGTCATGTCAATATGAACACTGGGCTCCTGACTTCATTTCCCTCCCCCAACCCTGCAGGTCAGCCCAAGGCCTCGCCATCGGTCACTCTGTTCCCGCCCTCCTCTGAGGAGCTCCAAGCCAACAAGGCCACACTGGTGTGTCTCATGAATGACTTCTACCCTGGGGCCGTGAAGGTGACCTGGAAGGAAGATGGCACAGCTATCACCCGGGGCGTGGAGACCACTAAGCCCTCCAAACAGAGCAACAACAAGTACGCAGCCAGCAGCTACCTGACCCTGACACCAGACACATGGAAGTCTCACAAGAGTTACAGCTGCCAGGTCACACATGAGGGTAACACCATCGAGAAGAAGGTGTCCCCAGCAGAATGTGCTTAGGAGATAAGCTACCCCACACCCAGGAGGGCCTGGACTCTGGGTAGGAACTCTTCAATCCACACAACCCTTTCCCACTCTTCACTGTCCCCCCGTACCCTACCAATGCCACCTCGGACTTGAGTGGGCACCTCACCCTTCCTGTGTCCACTTCCCCTCAATAAAGATCTGACGTTTATCATCCAACATGCCCATCTGTGTCTCATTGAGTCTCTGGGGAAGGTCTTTGCCCACACAAGGGGCAGACATTGTTCATGCTGTTCACACAGTTCCTGCTTGTAACCTAGTGTCCTTGTTGCTCCCAATACACCCACAGAAGTGGGGTGAGCTCTAAGTGCTGAGGGAACTATGACCACATCACACATTGTACCCTTCAATTACTGCCTTCAGATGCAATCCTTGTCCACCTGGGAAGGAGAGGGGCTTTGGGAAGAGGATAGCTGGAAAGGAGACCCTGAGTATCACCTCAAGGAAGAAAGAGGAGAGTGCCAGGTGCCTTGAAGCATGGGACACAGGTCATATTCAGAAGGAGCCCCTGGAGCCTGGTATTCTGCTCTCAGCAGGGATCCCAGATGCAGAAGCATTTACCTGCTGAGGTCTCAGTGGTTGCCATCACCAAGAACATTAGAAATGTTTGGAAATTTTCACATAGTCATGCATTTCCTGCCTTATCACAATGGATATTAGCTAAATATAGCCACTAACAACTCTTACAGTGAAGAAACAGTTCAATATAATGTTACCCCCCAGGTCCAAAATCATTTCTCCCCTCACCTCCAACTTACACAACCGTACCATGGGTCTGATACCCAAAGATTTCTGGAGACAGTATTTGGGAGACCACTGGGTGAGAGTGAGAAACACATGGGTCCTCTGTTTCTGGTCAGCTGGGGCATGGGGTCAGGGCAGTTCAGTGTGGGGCTGGCATCTCCTTCATGAAGAGTCTCAATATGCAACTTCAGGGGCAGGTTTATGGATGAAGTCTGGAAATGGTCATAGAGATTGGGGAGAGGACTGGGTAAAATTGTGCAATGGGAGAAACTGCATGGTACCAGACACGATATGGGACTCCAATGATTGTCCTTGGGACAGTGAATCAGAGGAAAGCTCAAGATTGGAGTGAGGGTCAGGGCTGACCAACCCAGGTGAATGGGGAGTGTGGTGTGAGGGCTCTAGCAAGGGCAGGCTGCCACAGTAATGCAGTCCCAACATAGACACCACTGCACTGACATTGAGTTTTTAAATACCATTTATTTTTAGAACACATTCTCATTTATAGACAAATTACACAGGAACAACAGAGGCTTCTCATAAGTCCCTGCAAACTCTAGCCTGCATTTGGATACATTTGATATTATTGATGATACATAATGAGTAACTAGGGTCTACAGCTTGTAGGATGGTTCACAATTTGTCTTCTGCTGTCCTGTGGGTTTGCAAGGATGCATAATGTCAGTTGTCCAGTATACAGTGTTACACGGAATGACTTCACCTCTCTAAACATGCCCTGGGTGCTACCTCTTCACCCTTCAGCCCTCTCTTCCTACACCACGGGCCACCATTCATCGCTCTACTGTCTCTGCACTTTTGCTTTTTCCAGAAGGTCATAGACTTGGACTCGATTTTCAGAATGGCTTCTTGCACTTAGCAACATGCAGTTTTGGTTCCTTCATATCTTTTCATGCCTCAGTAGCTCAGACATTTTCATCCCTGAGTGTTGCTTCATTTCCTGCCAGTATCACTGCTTGTTTACCTATTCGTTTGTGGAAAGACATCTTAGGAACTTCCACTTGTAGAAATCGGTGAGAAAGCTGCAATATGCACTTGTGTACAGGCTTTAGTGTGAATGGAAGCTTTCATTTTCACAAACACATGGGATGACGCTCAATGGGCCTTATGGAAAGCATATGCTGAACTTTCTTAGCTTGAGCTACACTGTCTTCCAAAGTGGCTGTCCCATTTTCTATCTGAACCAGCAGTGAACGAGACTTCCTGTTGCTCCACATCCTCACAACGTTTTCATGTTGTTACTTTATGGATTTCAATACTGACATCCTCTTCATATGCCTCCTGGATCCTCCTGATACTTCTGAGTTCCCAGAGGAGCTTCTAAGAGTCCTACTTTCCTGTATAACAGCAAGTTCCAGACTAACTTTGTACCTTCCCTGCTTCCTGCCTGATATTGACTTTTTCCTCTGCTATCTTCACTCTAGGTCATGGGAGATGGTGTTTAGAGGCACCAATTAAGGTGTAAATTAACATTTCAACTTAAATCAAGACATTACGACCCCTACCACCATCGATACCACATTGTAGCCAGTGCAGGTAAAGAAGATGTTTCCTATGTTTCCCTGGAGGAAGGAGGCTGCAATTGTCTGCTGGGAACACAGCCAGGTGCCCTAACCAAACAGCACATATGCAGAGCAATGGAGATGAGAACCCGGAGTTACACATAGGGTTGTCACATGCTTCCTGTGCTAATTGCAATCCAAGAAAACCTGCACATCCCTAGCAAAATTGGGATAAACCTCAAACACTCTGTGCCCTCAATCATGTCTCCTCAAGAAGACTTGTGTTAACTCAATATACATAGATGTCCTGTTACAGGCCACGGAACTTCACTCATCCCTGTGAAGCTTTCCCAAAGAATGAGGTCCTGTTCTAGACTCATGGTCAATGGGACACCAGCTGCCTCCAGTAGCCTCGCTTTCCAGGGATGTGCTGAGAACACAGGGTCATCTGCCCAATCACTGCTTAGGGACCAGGTGGCAATGTGGCTTCACTGCTGAACAGATGCCAGCCTGGGACTCAGGCTCAGGCTGCCCCATCACAACTGCAGGTGGCCTGGGGGAGGGAGGCTGGGGCTGGAGCATCACACAGAGGGTTTTTGTAGGAGCCTGAGTCACAGTGTCCGGTGTTTGGCGGAGGGACCCAGCTGACCGTCCTAGGTGAGTCTCCTCTTCTCCCCTCTTCCTCTCCTTCCCCAGTGTTTGTAGCAATTTTCTGCTGGTTTGGCTATTCCCTCTGTGCTGTGTCTGCCTGTGGTAGGAGATTCAGTGGCTGATTTCGGTAAGCCCTCGCATCTTCTTCTCCTCTCTTGGATCCTGCTTTATGTCTCCAGCAGGTCACATTCGGCTTTTCATCTCTGACAGAACAGGCAGAGGGTGAAAGAGATGACCATGTATTCAGCCTTCTCTCTCAGGGTCACTGGGCCCTGATAATTCTTCTGCCCTGAACCCCCGACGCCAGTGGGATTCCCTCAAACTCTAACTGCCTGACAGGGTCTCTTGGGATCCAGATCTCACATAGTATCAAACAGTGGCTTCTAAGAGGGTGGCCATCTCGGGGTCTTTACAAGACCTGTGGCTGTAAGGGTGGAGACTGTGGGACAAGGGACAGAGGTTCAGAGTTGGGTTCCCTTCACTTATGGGGCTTTGGGTCTAGAGCACAGGAATGTGGTGAGAGGTGAAGATGGCTCCTGCAGCCATCACGGGGCTGTCCTGCACAGATCTCTGAGCTCCCTGGGACTTAGTGTGATGGAGAGCAGAGGCGAAAGCTCAAAACTGCAACACTACTGTACGATGACTGGGGATGGGTGTAGGTGGAGTGGTGGACACTGAGGGTCTTCAGCAGACCATTCTGAAAACAAGAGTACCAAAAAGCACAGAGAGCAAGTCTCATGAAATTTGAGAAATAGACAAGTGGTAAGATGGCACCACCAAACCTGGCTCTGGAGAATAACGCGACCCAGGGAGGCACAATTCTTCTGATCAGGAAACACATTCCCTGATAAGAGAGCCTTGAGGAGAGTTTGGTTGGGGAAAACATGGCCCAAGCCACCCGGGAACCTGCATTAGCTTAGAAATGCCCTCACAATACATCCCACATGACAGTCAGACAGCTCACATGAACCCCACAGTGATAGACA